ACATGAATTTAGCTAAGTTGCAATAGAAGACCTTAGGTGGAGCAAACACACTCCCAAACTCCCAACTGCCCCCTTTGCAGAAGAGCCTGGGTTCCAGTGTAGGTCACAGCATCTGGGAGAAGTATTTGAACAATGAACAAAAGGAAATTCCACCTGTTAAACCTTTCTGCCTGCTTTGATGGAAACATCAAAACCCAATGTTAGGACTCCTATCCCTTGTGGGAGATACCCTGAAGTCTTCTAATCAGGTACACAGCCCACATCTCCACACACCCCCATCAGTTTTTTTTATGACCAACATCCATCTTCTCCCTTTGGCAGGTAAGCCAAATGGACTATCTCTGAAAGGAAACCCAATTCCTATTTTTCCTAACTCTCTGGCACTTTTTTTAATTGCACCCTTCTTGTGGAAATAAACAGTTGCCATGGTTTCAGAGATTTCTCCATGTGCTTTACAGCATCCTATCTCTCTGAATACACAACAGTGAGCGCCACCCCCAAATGGCTGCCGCAGGAGATAGGGACAGATCCCAAATGGCTGCTACGGGAGGTGGAGCCAGATACAATAACTCCGCCCTTGAAGTCCAAAAGAATTGCAGAAGGGGAATAAAAAGAAATGAAGGAAAACATAGGAAAGAGGGAGGGAGAAGAGCAAGGGGGATAAAAAGAAAGTCTGAAATGTGACTAGAACCACACACTGACTAAGGAATGCCTGGTTGCCTACCAGTTCTCCTGATCCTCCAGTGACTGCAGCTGCTATTGCAGCCACAGAAAACCCTTTCATTGGAACAGGGGTGGCCAGTAACAAGGCTTATCTTACAATGGGCCCGCACACTTTCTGAGAAGCTAGGCAGGCTCCAGGAGAAGTACTGGTGGGAACCATGGAACCCACAGGTGCTATGCTGGGGAACCCTGATCGATGGGCACAGCTCTCTCAGGAGAGAGGCATATGACATTGGCCTCGTGAAGGACACATCCACGCAGACAGCAACTTCATAAGCATGTAGTAAGGAATTGGCTTCTCAGAAAGTGGCTAGTTGGTATGGAGAATTAGCTCTGCATGAGGATACAGCTGTCATACAGGGGGGAGACCAAAAGTGGCTGACATGTGATACTGTCATACTGTGGCTTGATATTTATGTGAGCCAGTGTGGTATAATGGTTTGAGTGTCAGAGTCGGATCCAGAAGACCCAGGTTTCAATCTGCCATGGAAGCTCACTGGGTGACCTTGGGCCAGTCACACTCTCAGCCTAATCTACCGCACAGGGTTGGTCTGAAGATACAATGAGGGAAAGGAGAATGATGTAAGCTGCATTGGGGAGAAGGCAGAACATAAATGCAGTAAATACATAAATATTAATGTGATGCTGGCAAGCAAACGAACTCACTTGTACTTCACGCACACAGTGCCTTGTATAAACTGGGCTGCCACCTGTGAAAGGGAAGTGCATATGCTTAATTGGCACACCAGAGCCCAAGCTATGGACTTCTGGCAAGCTAAACACACACAGTGGTTATGGATGGTTAGCAACTGTTTACACAAAATGCTTTGCAAATGTAAAGTCCCATGTTATTTTTCTTCACAAACAGTCATGTTAAAAATCAGACCTAACCTCGTTTCCAACACATTTTATTCTGTTTTAGTTAATCCCTGATGCCCTTCTACCAATCTTCATATATTTTCCTGTGTGATTCCTTTTCTCTAGGATGTAGACTGTATTTTAGATGGGGTTTTTTTTGTCTAATATTTTTTCCTGGCGTACAAAAAAGGAAAGCAAATGGGCTTAATTTCCAGGATTTCCTCGGTATACAGAATACACTAGTACAATAGAGAGCAGACTGGACTTGAACCGTTCCCTCTGATATACTATATTTTAAACTGCAGGGAGGTTGTTTTTTAAAAAATATGGGGAGCATAAGAAAAGGCATCTCCCGTATGCTCCCGTCTTACTGTCCGTAAATCTCATTTTACCAATTGGGCTGGAGACCACAATGTACGTTCTAAGACCTTCAATTCATGGTCCAGACATGCAGGAGAATAAGAATGCAGCAGAGTCCTGAGGTGGCTGAATGTACTGTATCACTTCAGAAAGGTGAGGGTTTAGGCTTTCCAAGTTTCCTCCACATTAATAAATTCCCTGTCACTGGAAAATCAGCACAAGTATGCAAAGGCTAAGTTAAATATTTCCCCCCAATACACTTTTTTTGTTAAGTTACAGGGAGTTTTTACACGGAAAAGCATTATGAATATGACTGTTTTCTCCTGCATTCTCAAGTGGTATAGTTACCTCAGAATTATACCACCTCATGTCTACCAACCTGGCCTTTGCACGCGGACAGTGCAGCCACTATTTTGAATACACCAAGGAGCGAACTGTCTCTGTGACACACAGTGCCTGTGTCCAGGTTCAGCTGCTCGATTTTGGACTATGCATTCGCTCTAATTTTGTTGTTCAGTCGCACAGTCGAGTCCGACTCTTCGTGACCCCATTGACCAGATCACGCCAGGCCTTCCTGTCTTCCGCCGTCCTCTGAAGTTTGCTCAATTTCATGTTTGTTGCATCTATGACACTGTCTAACCATCTCATCCTTTGCCGTCCCCGTCTTCTTTGACCTTCAATCTTTCCCAGCATCAGGGTCTTCTCCAGTGAGTGCTCCCTTCTCATTTGGTGGCCAAAGTATTTGAGCTTCAGTTTCATTATCTGGCCTTCCAGGGAACAGTCAGGGTTGATTTCTTTGAGGATTGACTGATTTGTTCTTCTTGCAGTCCAAGGGACTCTCAAGAGTCTTCTCCAGCACCATAGTTCAAAAGAATCTATTCTTCGGCGCTCGGCCTTCCTTATAGTCCAACTCTCGCAGGCATACATGACTACTGGGAATACCATTGCTTTGACCATGCGGACTTTTGTTGGCAGGGTGATGTCTCTACTTTTTATCATGCTGTTTAGGTTCGCTCTAATGGGGCAATGCTAAACTTAAAAAAAAAAATAAAAAATTAAAAAGAGAAGGATTCCAGTCAGGCTAAGGAATAGCCTCCAGTGTTCCCTCTAATCTGAGTTAGTGTGAGCTTGTTGTTGTTCAGTCGCACAGTCTAATCCGACTCTTTGCACCAGATCATGCCAGGCCTTCCTGTCTTCCGCCGTTCCCTGTTTTTATCCTCCAGCTCACACATTTTTGTCTTAACTCAGGAAGGACGGCTCCAGAGCAAACGAATTTATGCAGCGGCCAAATCGCTCTCTCACAATTTAATGCCAGTAGCTCACAAAGTAGAATTTTTGCTCACAAGACTCCACAGCTTAGAGGGAACATTGCTCCTGACTGTGTTGTGCTCTGCTAAGTGTTGTACATGTTCTCTTTTTAATGTTTAAACCGCCGCCCCCCCACACACACTTTCCTAGGAATTCTGCCGAATTATTCTGCGTGGACCTGCCTAGGTTCCGTCTCTCAATCAGGGCCGCTTTCCCGCGCAGCCAGCCACAAGCAGATGCAGGAGAAAGTGGCGAGGACACACCCGCCGCCGCAGCGCCGCTCTCCGCTGTCCCTTCCCAGCGCCTGAGGGGCCTCCTCAGCCGGCGCTTGGGTCCCGGCAGGGGAGATCGGGGAGGGAGGGACGGAAGCAGCCGCGTCACGGCCGGCCTTCTTCCTTCCTCCATTCCCTCCTTCTCTCGGTCAGTCTCGGGGCTGCCCGGCCCCGCCGCTCTTTCCCCGGAGTCGAGCGGTTGTCCCACGAACCCGCTCCTTTTGGGACTTCGGGGGCTGCTAGTCCGAAGAGCGGGGGCGGCGCGCGGCTCGCTGGTGTCGTCCTTTTGGCGCCAGGAAACTTTGGAGACTGTCTCCCTTGCCAGGCTGGCCGTGAGTTTGCTGGAGTGGAGACCTCCAGAGCTCCCGCCGCTCCGCCGCTGGACGGACGAGGGCGCACCGCAGCCCGCTATCCCTTAGGGTGGGGACAGTCGCGAGTGGGGTGGTGCAATCTCTGCGACGACGCCAGTCGCCGGCTTCTTTTACAGCCCTCCCCTAAGACAGTTGCTTGCAAGTAAGCCTCGGTGGGGTATTTTACCGCATTGCATGGGATAGGATCTTTAGCGGCACAGAACAGTGGCAGAACCGACGAAAAAAGACATTTCCGTCCACTTTAAGAGCTTCCTTATGGGTGGAATGGGGATGGTCATCTGCTGTCGTTATGAGTTCCGATCCAGAGAGTGGTAGTTATTGCGGTCTAATGAACACCCTTGTAATGTGGAGTGCCTGATCTGGCTTGTGCAGGGTAAAACACGGTGGAAACACCCCACCACCACCACCAGTGTTCCCTCTAAGCTGAGTTAGTGTGAGCTAGCTCACAGCTTTTTAGGCTCCAGCCCACACGTTTTTGTCTTAGCTCAGGAAGGAATGCTCCAGAGCAAACTAATTGATGCAGCAGCCAGATCACTCGCTCACAACTTTAATGCCAGTAGCTCACAAACTAGAATTTTTGCTCACAAGATTGCACGGTTAAGAGGGAACATTGCCCCCCACCCAGTTTATTGGTGATTTTGAAAAAAAAATATTTTAAAAGGGGGGGGGGATGACACTGGCATTCTTGCAGGCCAATCTTAGCCATGTCTACTCAGAAGTAAATCTCACTGTGTTCAGTCCAGTTTACATCCAGGAAAAGATGACAACCATAATTTACCAGTGCTAAATGAAATATGCACAAGATTGCACGGTTAAGAGGGAACATTGCCCCCCACCCAGTTTATTGGTGATTTTGAAAAAAAAATATTTTAAAAGGGGGGGGGGATGACACTGGCATTCTTGCAGGCCAATCTTAGCCATGTCTACTCAGAAGTAAATCTCACTCTGTTCAATCCAGTTTACATCCAGGAAAAGACGTATGGGATTACAACCCTTATTTGCCAGTGCTTAATGAAATATGCACAAATTGAGATTTCCCTACTGAATAACTCAAAAGCTTAAGAGTTAAAGATTTTGACATGGGCACTAAGTGTGGGTGCATGGAAAGTCTAAAGAACAAGCAGGCCAAGAAGAATTTGGACCCTTGTGGCTAATTAGAGGAAATGGGGCTTGCTTGGGGACAAAAGTGGACATCTCAAGCTAAGGTCCTGCTTAGGTCTCTCAGGTGCTACTGGACTCAAATCTAGCTGTCCCAAGCGATGTGGCTGGTGCCATGACATAAATACTTAAGAGTGATAAATTGAACATTATGATGCTGCCTTCCATTAGGTAATATCTCCTGTCCCTCAGGGGAAACCTCCTCCATTATGGGGACTGCTTCATCCTTGGTAAACCCAGTAGGCACTGTCGGGGAGGTGATTGAAGACACATATGAGGGAGGTGGGGGTGAAGCCTGCGAGATCCCTGTGGAGGTGAAACCCAAAGCCCGCCTCCTGCGCAGCTCCTTCCGCCGTGTGGGGACGTCACGGCCTGGAGGTCTCATTGGGGCCAGTTTCAAATCCACTGCCTCCGTACAAGAGCTGGAATGTATGGCAGAGTACGAACGCCTGAAGAAAGAATACGAGATCTTCCGTATCAGCAAGAACAATGAAGTGGCATCTATGATGAAGAAAGAGGCCAAACTGGATAAAGAAAACAAGCGCCTGCGGGCAGAGCTGCAGGTGAGTTAGATGGATCCTGACGGCCTGGGCTGGCCAAAAGAAGGAAGGGGGAAGGGCATAGAGGGATCTTAGGTCTGCGGCACACAGGCCAGAGGTAGACAGTGGACTGCACTGCTTTTTTAAAAAAAGATGTGGCTGTTCCTTTGCATAAAGAACTCTGTTCAGAGAGAAAACAAGCACAAAGAATCTGTCCTCTGTTTTGTCCTGTGCTGGTCTCAGGTTTATAGGGGGTTTTAACAGTGGGTAATTCCAAGATGTGCTCCTCCATGATCCACCACGGCCACGCATTCCTCCACATTCAAGGCTAGTCCAGGAAACCTGTGCTGACCACTCCAGGCGGCTGTGAAGATTTCACTGTATTTCACTGTAACTAAAGGTGAAATCCTTCAAGTCAACTATGGCCCCGGTCACATGGGCTGGATATCGCAGGGGGAGGGGAGGCGTAGCTGTTTGCCCCGGGACAAAATAACGCGAGGTTGCACGATCCGACCTCCCGTGGAGGTCCCGTGGGTAGGGGGGAGGTGCCGATCACAGGCCAATCCTGCGGCACGGTGCGGCAAACGAGTTTGTTTTTTTCTGTACACCAAAGTATGTGCACGCTCCGTTGGGTGCTTGTGCGCATCCATGGAGACTTGGGGGAAAAAAAACATTTTTGCAAGTGGACATGGGCGGGCGCCGGATGCCACCGGAAACGCGATCAGATGCCCACCCTTGCCCTGTGGTTACCAGAAACTAGTACCTCGGAGGTACTAGTTTTTTACCCCGCATCTTCGGCGGGAAGCCTCGGGTGAGCCATGGGAGCTCCACGCTTCCCAGATGTGGTGGTGAGATCGCGCCCGGAAAATCCGCCTATCTTCCGTCTCTCTAGCGTAGCTAATGTTCCGTGTGACCGCAGTCTACCTATATTATAATTAATGGGGTTTCCCTAGTAAGACAACTTTGCAGATTGTATTCAGGCTCAGGATCTGTCACACAAGCAAGTTTTAGCACTGCATTGTTTCAGGTATTTAGTGCCTTGATTCTAACAACATGTCTTTGGAAGAAAGTCAGTTTGATTGTGGTAAATACATGTTGGAGTATAAGCCTACTTGCAACAGAATGACTTTTTGGGAAATGGAATTAAGTGTGAAAGCTTTCTGTGAACTACTAATTTTTTAATTCTGAGATTTAGCAGTCAAAGACTGACTGTATAGCCCAGGCCTCATCAGATCTTGGAAGCAAAGCAGATTCGGCCCTGGCCAATATTTGGATGGGAGACCTCCAAGGAATAGCAGGGTCGTGACACAGAGGCAGGCCATGGCAAACCACCCCTGAAACATCTCTTGCCTTGAAAACCCTACAGGGTCGCCATACGTCAGCTGTGACTTGGTGGCACTTTCCAGCATCACCAAGGGTAAAAAACTGAACAAACTAAAACCAAGAATGGTCTTTTTCAGGCACTTCAGAAAACATACCAGAAAATACTCAGAGAGAAAGAAAGTGCTTTAGAGGCCAAATATCAAGCCATGGAGAGAGCTGCTACCTTTGAACATGACCGAGACAAAGTCAAGAGACAGTTCAAGGTAAGGTCTCCATTTTCCTTGTGCCTTTGGCAGCTTGTTGCAGACTTCAGCTCTCAGAGTCTGGTTGCTGGACCTCGAGTGAATGCACTGAAAGAAGTTTGTAAATGAAAGGTGTGTGCATGTGTTAATTTCATGCCAGCATGGACTGACTCAAATAGAACACTGAGTGAGTTTTCGGAGGAGGCTCATGCATTAGGAAGTGCATTTTGTGTCTGGGCATTGTGGCCATTCATTGAATCCTTTCACTTTTACAGATTTTTAGAGAAACCAAGGAAAATGAAATTCAGGATTTACTGCGGGCAAAGCGTGAGTTGGAGGCAAAATTGCAGAGGCTGCAAGCTCAAGGCATCCATGTATTTGACCCTGAGGAGACAGACTCAGATGATAGCTGTACAGAGGCTGCTGGTAAGGATTCCACATACAGTTTTGGACATCGTCCTATGACCATGTTCTATAAATGTGAAATATAAAACAGACAAAAACCTAATGGCTGTTCTTCCTGGCTACTGAAAATGTCACAATGTAATTTTTAAATGATGAAAATATTTTGCTTCATGAAACTTTTAAACAAGCCAACTTACAATTTCTAAAATGACGCCCTTCCTCTCCATTCTGAGAATCTTGGCTGTTGATTAAAGGCTGGGTTAAAGGTGATATTTCCATTTGGGCATGTAATCTCTTAGGAGCAACATTGAACAGAAAATAAATAAGAGGAATGCAGTTTTCTAAATCTTAACTTGTTTAAGCCTTCTTTATTAGGTTGGGAACACAGCTTGAGATGTGTGTGAGATTTTAATGGACATAAGTGCAGGAGGGGGAAAGGTTGAACAATCCGCTGCTTTCTGCCACTGTTTAGCTATTGGCTTTGCAAGTTTGCTTTTCAGTTGAAAAATAAGCCTTTGGGAGAACAGAGGCATACAGTGCCATTGTACATCCTTCTAAGTGCATTGACTTAGTGGACCTAGAAGGATACACAATGGCACTGGACGCTTCCTTTCCCCCAAAGGTTTATTGGGGAAATAGATAGAATTCCATGTCACATCTAACCATGACTTTTTAGTATTCAGTGCTCGGGTCAGTTTGATATCTCCCTCTCCAGTTTCCAGCTGTAGTGCAAAGTAAGATAGCATTTGTGCAAAGTACTTGCAGCTCTGTATCCTCCCCCCCCCCCCCGGTGGCTTTTTCAACCACCACAGATCCCTTCCTACTGTGAAAACTGAGTTATGCAGCCAGCAGAATCATATATTGCATGGTTCTTTTTGGACAGTACCACTTCAAACGACAAATGAATGCTTCTCCATAGGAAAAAAACTAAATGCACATAGAATCTTTGTTCTCTGCTACCACGTGTCAGCAAAACAAAGGATTGGGCTGAGGTATGATTGCCACAAAAGCTGCCGCCACCAGCAAAGCACTTTAAGAGCAAAGGTATTGCAAGGATAAAAACCTGGGCCCTCAACAAGTGTGAGCTGCTTCTAGTTAGTCACCAGTGGGGCTTCACAAGTGAACGAGGAGAAGGGGGGCAGCCTCACTGCAGCCCTCCAACCGCTGAGACTTTTTGTCCATGCAGGTCCTATGACTGCAGACACATGTTTCTAGGAGTCCAAAGAGACTGCTGAGTGAAGGGGAACATGGGGAAAATCCATATGGGTTGCAGTTGTCATTGGCTGGATACAACCTATCAATTTCCCATTATTTTCAAAGGTTTGGTACAAAGATTCTTGCTCCTGGTTCTGTTGTGAGTTTGTCATGGTTATAGTTATTATTATCAAAGCTGCAGTGTGACAGTATCTGACAAAATTACACATTTCTTACCATGTAAATTCTTGTAGTAATTTCAGCGTGGGGGGTGCCAATTTTCCTTTGACTGCTTCTGTTTTTAATTTTTCGCCCTCACAACATTTAATACTCAAGAACGGACCAAGTGAGATATTTTAATATGTGGTTGGTGGGTAACTTTCAGTTGTAGATGTGCTCTCTGTCTGTAGCTTGATGGTTTGGTACATCTTCCGGCTCTCTGATTGTATTAAGTAAATGAATCAGTAGATACTAGCAGAACCAGGAATCGTGAATATTTCCTCATAGTCTTTTGATGGCACTTCAGGTAGTCAGGGCAACTGAGAGCCATTGTGGGTCTCCAGGGGATGCTGTTGTTTGGGCCCTTCTTGTACTACATTTGGGATACTCTAAAATCCAAAAGAACACACATAAGATGGTTGATCAACAGCACTGAGCTTGGGCCCCAGGGCAAATCTGGACCTCTAGAATATTTTTACCCTGTGCTCTCCCCACACCCCATCTCAACAACCCTGCAGTAGATGATTGCTATTTTATTTGAAGGCAGTGAGTATGGTAATCAGCAATGTGATGATTTTGTTGCAAGTTGTGTAACAAGTAAAGAAGCAGTATAAAGTTTCTCTTCATGTGAGCCATAAAGGAGCACCTTATTTAGTTAAAATTTGCTCAAACCTTCCTTCAAAGAGTTCTGGGTTTTATTCTCACATAAGTTCTGTGAGGTAGTCTGAGAGAGAGTGCTGGCTCAAGACCTCATGAGCAGAGGTTTAACCCAGGTCTTTCCAGGCCTAGTCTAACATTCTAAACACTACACCACACTAACACTAATAAGGGTGTTCTTTGGGTGTAGGAGGTTTGAACATGAATGCTATCATTGTGCTTCTTAAACATCTTACTGATACATGGTAGAAAGGCCTTTAGAGCTATAGTTAAAGAAAACAATAATCTGTCATGATACAAGTGTTAAGTACGTTTTGACAGCTAATTTCAGCTTCAATTAGGACTTTGGCTAAACTCCAGACAACTGTGTGCAAGGCCAGTTCCACCATTAGGCAAAGGCTGACAAACTGTCAATTATTTAATGCACTACTGTGTTTTTCTTACTGCCAGTAGCAGTGTATGTAGGGAGGAAGCATCTGAATTTTCCTCAAGTGTCAGAACAGTTTGAGACATACTCTAGGAGCCCGGCAGAGCTTTAAGCTTGTATATTTTGAACAAGAGTTCCCCCGGCCTGGCTGCATGGCAGAGGACTTTCAAACACTGTGACAGTGGTGCAAATGTCTTCTGCCTTATAGGCGGAGTCAAAGGCTGCAAAGTGTGCTGATTAGATGGTATGTCTCACTGAGCTTGGTGGGACTGTACCCACCTGGATCTATCTATATGATAGTGAAGGACCCATTTGTTGCAACCAGGGTCCGTCCCAGTCATATCTGAAGTGAAAGACGAGTCCCTAGTTTTTAGAGTACCGGAGGAACATAACAGTGGGATACTAAATGTTTCCACTACTAATGGCTCATCTTTCCACAGCTTGTCTTCGAATGCTGTTACCCCACAGCTGTGCTGAAATACCAAAAGGAGGCCTAGCAGGGACAAAAACACCTCTGGTGTCGGGAGAGGTTAACTGAAATAAATAGTAGGCCTACGATGGGTTGAGCCTCCCCTCAGCTTGACCCTGTTATTGCTCTATGTCTGGGACAGACCTGAGCTTCAACAAACAGGTTTGCAGCCACAGTGTGTAGTCTTGAGTTTTAGGCATGAGGGTACAGCTGAAAAAAAAATGAGAGTGAAATTAGTTATGACTGTTCTAATTTTAATGGGGCAGTCATCACTAGCTTGAGCTGGACAGGGCCCAACATGTTTTGGATTAGGCCAAAAATGTCCCACCAGGGGTATGCAAACTGTGGAGAGAAAGTCTCTCTAGGGAATGGGGCCGTTGGATTGGAGCCAAAGCACTGTGAGTGGAAGGAAAATGGCAGTCAGGGTATCTTTCCACGAGGTATGTGGGTATCACTTCCCACATGCGGATGCACTCTTCTGATTTAGCCCATCCGTTTTAAATTGATGCAAATAGTTATCTGCTTGTTTATTTTAAGCGACTGGGGCTCAGGCTGAGTATTGGACTGGTGGAGCCTTGGGAAGCGAGCCATCCATGGGCAGTATGATGCAGCTTCAACAGTCTTTCAGAGGCCCAGAGTTTGCACACAGTTCCATTGATGTGGAAGGGCCATTTGCAAATATCAACAGAGGTAAGGAGCAGATAGTTCTGTGAAGCAGGGCTTCAAACAGTAGTGCTATGACAAAATTATGCAAGATTTGACTTTGGGCTTGGATAGGGGTGTTTCCTGGGAAGAGAAATTTGTGTCGACACACGAGGCAGTTTACAGAAATCAGTAGATCTTCTCTAGGATTGTAAAATGTAGCTTCTTTATTGGCAATAAATCGGTGATGTAGCCTCTCCTTTCTGTAGTTTTAGCCATATGTAAAATAGACGAATGTATTTTTTAAGAGTGACTACCCTTTAAGAAGGAGCTGCGGTGGCTCAAGTGGTTAAGACGCTGAACTGCAGGCTGTGGAAGGTCAGTAGTTCAGCAGTTCGAGACCCGGGTGCCGCATGATGGAGTGAGCTCCCGTCTCTACTTCCAGCTCCTGCCAACCTAGCAGTTTGAAAAGCAAGAAATTGCAAGTAGATAAATAGGTACCACTTCGGTGGGAAGGTAACAGAGTTCCGTGCACCTTGATGTTTAGTCATGCCGGCCACATGACCATGAAAACATCTTCGGACAGCGCTGGCTCTTCAGCTTTGAAACGGAGATGAGCACCGCAACCCTAGAATCGGATTCGACTGGCTTTCGAGCAAGGGAAACCTTTACCTTTACTTTACCCTTTAAGAGCCCTGTATTTCAAAGAGCCTTTGCCCTGTTCTGCTCAAGGAAGGAGCTGTGGCTCATACACTCAGTGGCAGTGTTTCCTTTTCATTCAGAGGGGCCCTGGTTCAGTCCCCAGCACCTAAGTTAAAAGGATCAGGTAGCAGGTGATGTGAAGAACCTCTATCTGATATCCTGGAGATCCATTGCTAGTTGGAATACGGTAGACAGTATTGACCTTGGTTGACCAGTGAACCCTTTTTCTCTCCCTTTTTATTCATAGTTTGGGAGCACAGTGTGCTTTAATTCTCCCTATACTGGCATTCTGCGTGAATAATTATGAAAGTTTTGCTGTTTTAAGTGAATAAAATTTGATGGTCGTTTTTAAAAAAGAAGCAATGTCTTAAATTGGAAGAGCAGTTTGGGCTAATGTTAGTTCTTAAAAAAATGTGAACCGTTACAGTAGACTACCATTGAGCATTCTTCAAGAAACAGTTAAATTTGGCTGTCCTGTTGACTGCAGTACTGTCAAGTAAACATGTTTGGTATCAGGATGACACTTTTACAACTAGACGTTTAATTACTTAGTCTTTTGCAATTAAAAAGACATGCAATATACATTTTTATGTGTCTCTGTATAATGCATGTTATTAGGGGATTCACAAGTGCCTGATAGTTTAATAATATTTTTACAGCTAATTTTGAAAGAGCTGCTGTTTTATTTTATAGATGTCCATCTCATTTCACAGGCATTTTATTATCCCCATAAGTGGATTAGATTTTTAAGTATATTAAAAGACCCCCAAGGTCAATTGTTGCAACGCATTAGGGCATTTTTACAGGGTAATGAAATATTTTCGTGTAGGTCTTTCATTTCTGTTTTTTTATTTTAATTTGCAGATGATTGGGATGCAGCTGTTGCCAGTTTGTTGCAGGTCACTCCATTGTTTTCCCACTCTTTGTGGAGTAACACAGTAAGGGTGTATCTCATCAATACACAGGAGACTCAGTCAGAGGTAGACATCTTCATACAGGTAAGAACGATATGTACACATTGTATGAATGGTCATATCCGTTTTCACACTGGCTAGGTTTCCATCAGCAGGATTGGGGGGCAGTCTCCTCCATGTGGATTAGAAACCAGGTCCTGATCCTGCTAAGTCCGACTTTAGTTCATTTATTTATTTAAAATATTATACTGAAGAAGGCTTTGAAAGATGGCCAGAAGACTGAAAACATACATGATTTCAGTAGTAGTAGTAGTAGTAGTAGTAGTAGTAGTAGTAGTAGTAGTAGTAGTATGATTTGACCCTTGGCATTTCCAATTTTAGAAGGATCTTGGATAGCAGGGCTGGATCTATCATAGCAGATTCCCCCGTCCCATTGCAGATAACCCATGTTGTGGCTCATACTGTCCTCGAGGGTCCCCATCCCCACAAAAGAAGCATGTCGAGAAGCTCTGTGGGCTGTGCTAGGAGGAAGGAGGCAGGAGAGTTGCATTCCATTGACAGTACTTTGATACAACCCATGATGAATGTTAAATAATCTTTGCTTGTGAAATATAAGTTAAATAACCCTGCTAAATTAAATCCCTATTGATTTACTTGGTAAGCTCACATAGGGTTGCCAGGTCTGTTTGAGATGCTGGTGAGGAGCTGGAACCATTCTGGGAGCTGGAACCATCTCCCCCCACGTGCTGATGTCACCGGAAATGATGTCGTGTGCTGTGCCTACATCACCCGGAAGTGACATAGGAATGTTGGGGATGATGCTCTGGTTTTTGGACAAAATCATCCTCAGACCATAGAGTTTGGCCCCCAAACCAGAGCATCATTCCCTGCGTGCCCATGTCACTTCCAGGTGACGTAGGCATATTGTGTGATGTTGCTGGTGGGAGGGGAGTTTGCTTTCACCGGCCAGCTGGCCAGCGGTGGGCAGGAACCCACAAAATTGGGCAATCCCCAGCCCCCAACTAGGGAATGGTTGGCAACCTTAAGCTCACAATATGCTGTGAGAATTCATCTCCAAAATTTTCCAGTTCAAATCTTTTCTGTATGACTCACATCACTGGCTGTGGTTAGGCAAAGCAAATCATGACTAACTGTTATGTCTGTACACGGCTTCCCCGTGTGTCAGCAATGTTCACCTTAGCATAGGAATCACAGAACAGATCACACTGGGAGTCTGAGTGCTTGTTTTTGTTTCTGTTAAAGGAATGGATTCAGTCTATTGTTTATTAGATAGATTTAGGTTTATTCTGAATCCTAACATTGACTTTAAATACAGCAGAGTACTGTTAGTATGGGTTTTATTTTAATAGAGTAAACTGGTAGAGCACGCTTGATAATATACTATGTAATTCACAGACACTTATATACCAGGCAAGTATAGCTACTCCCTGCGTAGCAGAATTTATTGCAACCTATGCATTTTTTCCAAGTGAAAATTTGGAGCGAGACAATATTGCTACTCCCCCCCCCCACTTTAGCCTTTCAAAATTGAATGCAATATGGATAGCCTTTGTTTTTACATCATCATCTAAAAGTATTAATCATTTTGTTATAGTTCCATGAGTGTATTTGGGTAAACTATTTTGTGTACAGTAACAGTTCTGAAACTGGAATCTGATGCCCCTAATGAGCGACATTTTCTTCTTTAACTTTCAGAAATACTCTCCAAAACTTCAGAAATATTGTGAGACAATGGAGTACTTCTTCCAAGCTGTCTATTTTCCGGTAGAAACTGGAAGTCCTTCTCAATCTGTGAGGAAATGGGAAATCGAGAAGAGTTCTTTAACTATTTTGTGCCTGCATTTAACTTTGCCAAGGTGAGTGAACAACTTGGGAAACTGTGTCGAGGGAAATCAGAGTGGTGCCACTAAAATGTACGTCTGTGTTCTGTTTTGGCTGAGGCCTCCCATGCCCCTCAGGTTGCCTAACTCATGCTGATAAAAATCCCCCTTGAATTTGCCTACAGCTATAAAACTATATATGAAAGGCAATGCCAGACCCCTTTTTCACAAGAGAATAATACAAGGCTTTTCAAAACAGTGGTGCATGTTCTGATAGAAGGATATTTGCTTATTTTATTTCAAAACTCACAACCTTGCCTTTCCAGCTAGAAAATACATTCAAGGTGGCTTTCAATAGAATATGAATAGTACTCATTCAAAACATGGCTGCTATTGACCTCAGAACATAAATGCAAAGCAATGTTTTCTAAAAGGTTTAGGTTTTTTCCCATGCTGTGATCCCCAGTGCATGGCTGTATGCAATTGAGGATACCTACGTGTTGCACACTTGCATTGATGCAGCCCCTAGAATCCTTGCATCTAATTTTTGTCCCTGCTTCTCCAAGACTCAGTGACATGCATCCCTGTTTGGACAGGCATGAGTGTGCAGCACATTTATCCCCCTCCCACTGCTTATGCACTGACTCTTATATACATGCATAATAAATATAGTTCTGTATATAAAAGTCTGCAACACACACATGTCCATCACAGCCACAAACAAGTGAAGGAATAGAGCAGAGGAGCAGCCTGACATTTTCTCCTAGTTGGGCAAAATCTTCGTGGGAACTGAGGAAAAACTGACCTGTTATCTTTGTTCTTTGCTCATCCTATGTAGCAGCTTCTTCCCTTTAATGAGTTGGCATACTAAAGGACTTTCAGAACTGCTGAAGGGAATGGTGGGATCACATTAACTCACTTGTCGCCATAGGGCAAAGAACACCAGATCTGGAATCTGTCTAACTACTTCTTTCTTTCCACAGCACACTTAACCACTGCACCATTTGGTGCAGTGGTTAAATGTGCGGACTCTAATCTGGGAGAACCGGGTTTGATTCCCCACTCCTCCACTTGCATCTGGCTGGATGACCTTGGGCAAGCTGTAGTTCTGATAAGAGCTGTCCTTGAAAAAGAGCAGTTTGTGTCAGAGTTCTCTCAGCCCCACCCACCTCACAGGGTGTCTGTTGTGGGGAGGGGAAGGGAAAGGAGTTTGTAAGCCGCTCTGAGACTCCAAGTGAAGGGCGGGGTATAAATCCAATCTCTTCTTCTTCATCATCACCTTAAAACCAAGCTTTAGCCATGTCCTCAGCTACTGCGTATGCAGTGTTAGGATGCCTGGGCTGACACGGCATTGGTGTACTAACATTGCAGATGTGATGGGATTGCCCAGTTTAAGCAAGATGCTGGGTTCATGCAGTGTGAGGTGCTGGGTTCATGCAAATCCTTCTACCCTGCCAGTGTCACGCATGTAGTGAATCAGGCGTAAGTGGCATGAGGAGCTGCAGCTGGAAGTGAAAACCAGCTGTCTCCCCTTACGCATTCTTGGGTCCCACTGTTGCATTTTTCCAAAAATGAACATGTATAACAGTTATCTTTAGAATAGGTTCCCCCCCCCCGACAGTTTTTTGATTCAATTCTTTGCCATTAAACCCTCCCCCACCATAGTGCTTATGTCTCGTGAAAAGCCTTGCTCTTTTTGATTGGGGCGTCAGCAGGGGGGGGGAAATTCTTGTCCTTGGGGCTGGTGTTGATTGAACTGTTTACTGCAGCAGAATAGTATATAGCACAAGAATGCTGATTTCCAATCTAGCTGTCTGCTGGAGGAGTGCGAAGAAGCCTTCTTGAAAAACCCAGAGGGAAAGCCCCGTCTTCTTTACCACCGCCTGGAAGAGGGCCAGACCGGCTCGGATTCTGTGCAGCAGCTGGTTGAACAAGTTGGCTGCGTGAACAAAGCAAAGGTAATAAGAGATTGGGGCTGGTACATTTACCGTGCTTGCCTTTTCTCATTAAGGTGTTACTGCAGCACTTGTAAGGTCCGGTGTTCATACAAATTGAACCTCATGTGTCAGAGGCGGAAAGCTAATGGAACGGCTCAAATTAAATAAAAAACAAAATACTGTATGTTCAAGGAATCCCAGATAAAGTTAACTTCATAGAGGCTGTCTCTCATTTTAGAAGGGATACAGGTGCTTTTAAAGACCTAGTAGATTTATCAGAAAAAATAACATTTCCAATATGGAGAAAGATTTCTGTTGGAGGGGAGGGGACAGTTTCTTCTGATTCTTTTCCTCTGCTGCAGATTCCTCCTATGTTGACCCCCAGGAATGGAATTTCAGGGGGTCTCCGCTGCATCAGGAGGAGGAGGAGGTAGGAAGGTTCCACTCCCTGAGCTCTGCTCCCCTTGTGGGCAGGGAGAATCCAAGCTGTTGTATCCCAGAACAGATTTAGCTTCTGTCATAGAAGCAGTGACTACTCACTGTCTCTCTTATTTCTGATGAAGAAAGATTTACTACAAAAATATATTGTTACTGTTTCTAAAAGCTGCAACAGTGCTATCCTTATTTTTTTTAAAAAAACTCAAAAAATGACAATGTTACTACAAAAATATATTGTTACTGTTTCTAAAATCTGCAACAGTTCTATCATTTTTTTTAAAAGCTCAAAGAATGACAATATTTTCACTTCGCTTTTCTGTACTAGCCTTGCTGTTCTGTTTTCTCCTGCTGCCCTTTGTACTGTTGTGCTTCCAATCCAAGTCAACTGTGGCTGCTCCATGTAATTTGCTGCGCAAATCCACCAGTTTCACTGTGCTGTACTTAAAAAAAAATGGTTTGCAGTTGTGTTGTGTCACCCGTGCCTAATTCAGGCATCGTGACTAACAGATGGGCACAAGCACAGCTTGCTGCTGTCAGCCCCTCATGCTTGAAGCACAATTGATGAAAACTTCTGGGTTTGGGATCCTTGAATCAAGCTCCCAATTCGCCAAGATATCCAAATGCAGGAAAAAAAGTGGAGTTTGCCCCACCCCCTCCCCATTCTAAACCGAAATTAAGACAGTGCTTTGAATACTGTTTTGTACAGAAGTAACGGACTTCAATTTGGCCAAATGCCTTCATTCTCACATCATGAGGAACTGGAACTTGATTAAAGCCTTGTCAAACTAAGAAGTTTTTGAGTCCTCTCACAAGGGGAAGGAAGGGGAGCACACAAGCTCCCATTACAGACAAGCCTCTGTCTGTCATGATGTCTGAATCCAGCCATCCATTTGACTGACTGAACATGTGACCAGCATTCCACATGACTAGAGTCAGGGGTCATTTCCTGCAGGAGCGCACAGGAGCGGAGCTCCGGCAGTAAAGAGCCCAGGGGGCAGGCACATGAAACAAACCCCACCCCCTGCTCCCAGCAGCCCTCAGTCAGAGCAAGAAGCAGCCAGGTAAGCTGCAGAGCCCCCCCCCGGCCCCCTGTCCAAAACAGTCCAGTGGCACCTTTAAGACCAAGTTTTATTCAGGTATAATCTCCCTCTCCTCTGCGAGGACAGATCTGCACG